CAACTTCATCAAAAATTAATTTCTTCTGCTAATTTTATTACACGCATACCAGAAACGAAAACTCTCGCACCTTAATATTCGTTCACAATATTTGGCTATAAAACGTATGCTACAAACCTTTTGAAAATCACTTTGTTCATTTTTTATTAATTTTCTTTGAAAGCACGAAAACAACTTACTAGAACGCACACTTAGGTATTGTTTTACGAAAAGCAAACCGGTTTTAATTAAATTTAATGAAAATGTGATTCTTGCCAACATTGTAAATAAGTTTGATAGAGGGAGAAATTCTTGATGATGCGTTTTTTTTAGATAATATCTAAATACGAGAATTAAAAATTAATTGAAATGAACCAATTGAACCAATGAATTTACAAAAATAGAAACGCAGCTATTAATTGCAAAATATTCAAATCCAGTAAAACCTCGTTAAAACGATTGCTCTGGGACCAAACCAAAATGCGTCCCAAGTGAAAAAGCGTATTAAGCGGGATGGGAACATCGTATTTCAAATTTCATTGACCGCGTAAAGTGGCGGTATTATGCAAGATCGTCTTAACGGGGTTTAGCTGTATTTTTATATTACTTTGTCTGTCATATCAGAGACCTTACGCGTGCTTTTGATGTTTTAATTACATTCATATAATACCTAAATAAGCCGGATATCCGGAATCTGCAGGCATTTCAGCCATCTTCCCGAATTTCTCTCAAAGCTTCTGCCCATATCTGGAAGTCGAATCTGCCATCATCGCCACGTGAAATCCCATATCCCTAGAAAGGAAATTAATATATAGTAAATATTTATAAATACTTAATTTCATAAAATTTGTTTAAGCCAATGCAAATGCGAAATAAAATTTAAAAGATTACTAGCATTAAAAAATAGTTGCTTGAGATAATAGTTTAATTTTGTCGTTTACCGCTCCAAAACTGCCTTCAACATGTGTCCATTATTCTAGAAAACATTTTCCATTGTCGTCTATAAGTTATAGTACGATAAAAATATGAATAATGTATATGCATAAAATGAAAACACAATATAAAACTACCTGAAATATTCTGCAATTGTGATACCGGTATATATAGAAGCTTCCCTAGCAGCCACAGGCATGTTCGATGTATTTGCCACAAGCGAAGTTCTTTTCATAATAGATTCAGTAACGCCATCAATTTCCACGGTAAGCTCAGGAAAATCTCGGAGAACTTCCGACATTTCGTTTCCACGTTCTCCACAACCAACGTAGACTATCACGTCGGAATTCGAGTATTTTGATAAAGCCTGGGTAAAATATATTGTTTATTCTAAAAACTGTCAATATTGTTCAGAATAAGTGTTACACTAACTTGGGAAATGACAGTTTTGCCACATCCAAAAGCACCAGGAATTGCGGTCGTTCCTCCTTGGACACAGGGGAAGAGAGCGTCCAGGACACGTTGACCCGTTAGTAAAGGATAATTTGCCGGCAATTTTTCTATTACTGGTCTAGATTGACGAACAGGCCAAACCTAATGGATTAATGAAAATTTATAATGCAAAAAGAATTTGTTTTAAAACAGCATTCAGAGCAAATATTCTCTGAACTGCCGTGAAGATACTTTTTAACTCTGGCAACTCATTGGTTGTTCTAATGATAGTGATTTTGAAGTCAAATATTTACCTGCATCATGGTATGTTTAGTAACTTCTCCTTCATATTCTGTCTCTATTATTACATCTTCCACATCATAATAGCCTTCAGGTGCAAGATACTTCAAATATCCTTGTGCCTTAGGCGGGAGCATCATCTTGTGCTGCACTAATGTATTTTCGTGGACTATTCCATAAATGTCACCTCCAGCCATCGGCGTATTCAGCTTTGGATAGATTATACACTTAATCAAATCGATAAAATCGGGTGTAACTAGTACTTCGGATAAAATATAGCATGCTGAAGCCGGAGTTTTGTCAAAGAGAGAAAAATCACACGAACGAGGTAGGAATTTTAATAGTGTTTACAGATGTTGTTCCACAAAAAAGTATTAAATTCTTTCATTTAAAAAACTAGTAACAACGAAAGCGTTCAACTAATTTGTGAAAACTGATGATAATTAATATCAATTTTGGTTAATATTATACGAATATCTTCAGTACTATCATAACATGAATCCTTTACCATTATCCTCTTATCCTTACCTTAATTTTTTGGGGGTGAAGTCCCACTTGACGGTCCTCGAAAGTGCTGGTATGTTTATCCCTTTGGGGATGTATATTGATCCTGTAAGACTTTGTATATCGTGTAAGGGCCTTTGTACTCCATCCACAATGCAGCCTAATATTCCTGGACCCAATTCCACTGATAGCGGTTTGCCCGTACGGGTCACTGGATCTCCGACGGCTAAGCCGGATGTCTCTTCGTAAACCTTTAATAGAAAAAAAGGAAACTGAATAATTGATAAAGAAATCATAAAGATTAATGAAAAAATTATTTGATAAATTTATTAAATATTGGTGGTTTCAATAGGTTTTTGTTCTGGACCTGTACAGTTGCCATGTCGTTTTCCAGCCTGATTATTTCCCCGACCAGCTCACAATGTCCTACCTTGACCAGCTCATACATGGCAGTGCCGGACATTTTTGCAGCTGTAACCACGGGCCCCGAAACAGAATAAACGTAACCCAAAGTATCTTCGTCTTCGTCATCATAAAAATCTCTGCTTCCACCTGTAAATCTTCTGTCGATACATTTACTATTTTTGCTTCCTTTGCTGCTTCGACTACTTCTATCCAAGGATGTTGTATCCATTTTGAACTATTTCATAGCTGTCAAAAAAAGACAAGTGAATTGTAATAAAATATCGAAACATCGGATTGAATTAATTCATTAATATTATTATAATATTGTATTAATAACTATAATGTGAATGGCTAATGAGCATAAAAATTGGAAGTCCTTAAGGACTATGGTCCATCGTCTTAACCACTGGACCATTTTTAATAATAATAATAATACAAATTTAAAGTTCATAGGCTAATTGTTTAAAAATGTACTCTTAAAAAAATATTAAAAATAAGTAATAAAGAACAGCAGAGTATATTATACAAATATATTTTGAACATTTTTTTTAATATTAAATGACAGGTGTATTTGCTCTATTAATAATTTTTACTAAAAGCGATTGTAACAAATAAAATAACATTTCCACAAAGATTTGTTCGCCCTGATCTGGGACAATCTAAAACCGGTTGTAACTTTATGCTCCTGTCTGACGTCAAAATAATCGATTTACCGGCAGTTTTATAACCCAGTTTATCGAAAGCAAAAGTAAGGAAAATTTTATTGATAAAATTACTTCCTCACATGTAATGTTAAATAAACTACAAAATTATCTTTCCCAGTTTATTAGCGCAGGTGTTCTAAAAAATGCAAAATTCACAAATTATATTTTACTATATTTGCGTATCTATTACAAGTTCTTGTAATTTTCCATAATTTTGTGAATTCTGTAACTAAATCGAATTGTGTTTTATTGTCGAAGTTATTGTTTGTTATCTCGTTTGAACAAATTGTTTTTTAAATGAACGAGCAAATATATGCGATAATATTTGCTTTAACAATTTAACGCACCTTGAAACGATAGTGAAATAATATATTTACAAGAAATTTTATTTAGTAAAAAAGACTGAGAAAAATGGTGATTTCAGAGGAATCGGTCAATTTAATAAAATCAACACAAAGCAAAAAAGTCATGGAAGTAATTGCTCCAATGGGCAATAGATAACTATGATGATGATAATACAATGTGACAATTATCATTGCTATATTTTTTATCAAATCACAGCAGATTCCATTATTTAATGAATACAAAATAAAAAAAAACTTTATTTTTATTCTGTTGTCTCTATTCAAAGGCGAGATTACATTATGTCACTATGAGTAAGAATGAATTACAGCACATCCAGGTAAATCCCAGCATGGAAATGAATTAGATCAACAGATGAAAGTGTTTATGTAAAACACACAATTAATTATTCGTTTTTTTTGCACTGTGAACCGAGTATTTATACGATGTTAAAACTCTTAATTGAGTCGTTAAAATGATAAGACGCATAAATCAAAAGTATAAGGACTTAAACAACACGATTCTCGGTTTTCGAGTTTTAATTCTAGGAAATACCGGCTTGTTGCTTTGATATTACAAACGAAACATATGTTTGTACTATCAGATATTTTTATACAATTTTTTATAGAGTTAATTGCGTGAATTAACTTCCGGAAATTCCCAACACTCTCAGTTTCTTGCTACAACTTTTTTATAATGTGTCTAATTATAACTCAAGTCATATATTTACTGAAATTTGCATATATTTTTTGCATACATTTTTTCATCTAGGTTTTATCCCTATATTCACTGTTTTTAGTAATAAAAATTGAGTTCAGTTCTATTTTTATATAAAATGAGCATAGCTTTTATTCTAATGGTATTCATATGCCAAATATTTCTTGTTGCATTTAAATAATATCATAATATAAATATTATGTTTAGTACAAAGTATATAAAATGTACTAAATTAGTTTTATATGTTATAAAATGATGCCAAAAATTTCATATGTACATTTTTCTCTCAAATTGTTGAGATGTTATGCGGGAGACTTTTATGTGCATAACTTTGTAATAGTTTTATATCAGACAGAAATTGTTTTTTATTAAAAGAATTATTCAAATACTTAAATTTTCAAAATTAGGACAAAATAAATAAATAAATAAATTATCAAAATATTTCCTTAATTTATTAGACTATGTTCTGATTTTATGTGGATTTGGAAAGGTTTCTCCAATGAGGACAATTCGTTAATTTTGGAAGTTTTTTACATGAAATTAGATGGCTAAATTCTTTAATTTGGTATTTGTTGTCTCATTTCTTGGTACATATTGTGACCTGATAATATTTATAATAAATGCATTAAATCTTTTCTGCATGTTGTAAATTGTTATATACATTAGGAATAAACGATTCAAAATCAAATTTAATGAAACAATGGAGAACCTTGGCGAAGGTATCTTGCTCTTGTATATGAAATATATATATATATATATATATATATATATCTTGGTCATCTAACTTCCCGGTATATTTTTAATTTAATTCTCGATTAACATAAAAAATACATTGCGGATGTAAACATCACAATAATATGATGTTTGACAGAAGCGCTAACAATGTTTTACAAATGGATTTTTAAATTCATTTCATGTTTATTCATAAATCATGTATGATACCTCTAAATTCACATACACACGTTATAAATAAAAATCGAAAATGATTGAAGTACAATTATGTTCAGTAATTCTATATCGTCATTATATAAGAAGATTAGGGACAATCAAATTTATAGTGAAACATCAACTTTTTCACAATTTGGTTTTTATATTTGTTCAAATTAATAAAAAATCAATCGGCATTTAGTTGTTTCTGCTGTGTATATAGAATTGTTGGAAATGTCTTCATTGTATAAAAATACATAACAAGTTTAACAAGTTTATTATGTTTCTCGGTAATAAGATTATATACAAAATGCATTTGCAGCCTTGGTTGAGCAACTGTCATTAGCCGCGAGGTAATTTTTTAATATTTCCTTATAATAACACATACATTAATAAAATTTAACATTACAATTGATCAAAAAAAATAATGTTTTTATTAAATATTAATATTTTCTTCAAACATTTCTCATGTTTATATTTGCGCGTACTTAGCCTTGAATGTGACGTTTTTTTCCAAATATCATTCTTAGTTCTATAAAAATTAGTTGATCTGTCTATATGCAGAATTTATACGACGTAATAATATTAATATTGGTTTATAAATTTGGTGTAGGTGTTTGTTGTTTTCCATATAATTTATTATTGGCATACCATAATTAAATTGCGGAAGTCTGATGTGCAGTTTTTGTAAAAATGTCATATCAAATAAGAAGAGAATTTTGAGAATAAAGCACCACATTTTATTTAATATCGTCATTAAATATTGCAAATAGCTCAAAAATGTTGCAGGTACCCCAACAATATTTTGAACAGTCCAAAAATATTGTGAACAGTCTAAAAATGTTGCAAATGGTCCAATAATGTTGCAAACAGACAGAAAATATCTAATAATTAAATTGCGAAAATCTGATATGCAGTTTTTGAGAATAAAGCACCACATTTGCATTAGTTATAGTCTTTAAATCTTGCCAATAGCTCAAAAATGTTGCAAATACTCCAACAATATTTTGAGCAGTCAAAAATGTCGTGAATAGTCTAAAAATGTTGCAAATGATCCAACAATGTTGCAAACAGACCAAGAATATCTAATAATTAAATTGCGAAAATCTGATGTACAGTTTTTGAAAATTAAACACCACATTTATATTGGATATATTTTTAGCACTTTGTGTAAAAATTTCTTATAACTTGTATAAGATTAATTATAATACAATCACGAGCTGATAAAATCATAACAATCATAAATAATGATTTGCGAGTAATTTTAAATAAATTTACGTAACTACTATTACATATGTTTCAGCATAAAATTTCTTAATTAAAAACAAAGCTAGTAATAAGCAACAGCAAGGATTATTTATTCATAGATTTATTTAAAAAAAAATTATCTTTGATTATACAATAGCTCATTTACAAACCATCTGGGCAATTGTGATTAATAATAATAAAAATCGTTCAAAAACTATTTGTCAGTATTGATCCAAAATTATCAAGAATAACAATAATCAAAATAGCAAATATGTACTGACATTTTTGTGCCTAGGATAATTAATCACTAAAACACTTGCATTTAGTTTTATATACTTCTATTAAATATCACAAACATGGTTATCATATAATAACTAATAATAATCAAATTTAAGAGGATGTGCAATATGGATTTTTTTGAAAAAACTATAAACTGGATGTATAATATTAGCAACAGAGTAGTAGACAATTATCCTGAGCACACAGCAGTCAGTAATTTTTTATATCTGCACCTATTCCACCTCAGTAAATTTTTGATGGTACTTAGAATGTCTGTAATAGTCAAGATGCATTTGCAACATGTTTTTTTTGTTCATTTCTATATTATATTTATTTCTTTTATAATATTATTTTTCTTTCCAGATAACCATCTCCTCTGCTTACCCGCCACACTACCTCGACTTCTGGCAGCACGACCCCCAGCCTATTCGCCCCAAGGAGACTCCTGGAACTCGGACCCCCTATCGGCTTCAGCAGATCGTTCTTCATCCCGTCGCATTGACTCGTCCCCATCAGGCGACTTCCACCACAATCATCACCAGCAATATCCAGAACGCCGATATGATGGTAGACACGACTACGGAGAAGGCGTCCAGAACCGCACCGGAGGGTCGAGCAGCAGAGCCCTCCTTACTCGAATGTTGGCTTATACGGAACTGTGCATCCTAGGGACGGTGTTGGCGTTCGTGTGGCTGACGGTCCTGGCCCAAATGTTCAGGGCCAGGGTCACGGCGTCGTCGGCGGGTTCCCGAACCAGATCGGTACAGGAGGACATTCGGGGAGGAGGAAAGTTAGGCCGCACGTAAATGGTAATAATTTACTAAATAATACTAGTGGTTTAAATAATTAAAAGGTCTTATTTTTATCGTTTCTAAACGCCTGGAATAAATTTTTACTTGGAAACTTTTTTTCCAACGCGATGAATTTAGAATTTGACAAGACAATACTGTAGGATACTTCAAACAATCTGTTCTCGGCATTCCTTTGAAGTCCTTTTCAAATGTTAAAAAATCTTTTGTTCTTGTTTTTTGCCTAGATTTTTGTTTCTAGTGTAAAGATCATCTAAACTCTAAAAATTGACCAAGTTTGTTTTAAATTTTTGATAAATCTCTAATATAGTATTTTTGCTTTATTGTTGATTGTTGTATCTTAAGGGGGTATTCTAGTGTAGAAATCCAAAAAACTTGAATTTTTTTTATATTTCATATTTTCAAAGTTTAATTATCTAAGAATATGGGTACGAGAAGGTTTTTGAAAATTTGAACTTATTTTCGGAGATATAGGCATTTTACTGACTCGGTCTTCATACTCGTTTGGCTTCACGCAAAACATGCGTTTTTCTCAGAACAGACTTTTTCAGTACTGTTCACACGATTTGTCGAGTTTTAATCGACCGATTCACTTAAAATCATCAGAGAGTCTTGTTTATAGACTTATCTATAGCCTGAAAAAAATTCGAGAAACTCAAAAAACAGTAAAAAAAACACTTTTTTTCAAACAGTCGCCAATTTAAAAAAAAAATCTTTTTACTCATCGCTAGTTCAGGCGATTGCGACATCATTGTAGATTAATAACCTGTTTATTTTTTGCATTTTCGATGGCTAGGAGGGCTAAAATCATGTCAAGACTGAGATGCCAATTTTTTGAGACTTTCCCACTTTATCAGCTGCCAGTTTTTACAATTTTCAACTTTTTTATTTTTTAATTTTTGTTTTGTATTTTAATAATTTTAATAAATAAGTGGTAAAAAATGGATAGTAAAAACATTCATTTCTTTCTTTTATGACTCTTTAAAAATGACCTAAAATTCATCGCTCTACACTAGAATACCCCCTTAAGTTATCCATTTCACAAAAATAGAATACTTATTTCAATTGTCTTAGAGTACATGTTGTAGATATAATATAAAGATGTAAATATAATAATGTTAACATTATGAATCAATATCGCTATTAGATTGTGATTAACTTTTCCTATTCTTACTGACTTAAGTTCATCAACGTGTGTGATCATACATCAATTTGTATCATTCTTAAATTAGAACTTTTTAGCAATTGAGCCTCTTAAAAACGATGACTTGAGATGAAGATTAAAATACACCGCTTTTAGATGGGGTTTAGATATAAATTTCTTTTAACCAAATTCTTGCGTTCCCGTAATTAATGCTGTTGACGCTTAAAAATAATACTTCTTACAATATAAAATAATTAACAATTAACAAAATCAGGTCGTAGAGGCAGACGTAACGAAACTGCATTTATTCATGATATAAATAATGGGGCCCCTCAAGTACACAGACGCAATGGTACCTTAGTTTTGGTATATCCTACTCAGAAACCAACACTCACGAGAGGTAAGCGAGGTAAATCTGTCCACGATATTCCTAGGCATGACGATGGTAAATCATCAAATTCACCAAATCACCAACTAATGGCAAGTCACAAATTCATCAAAGCACGGAATATCACTAATTCACCAATTCACAAAGCACACTCGCCTGGTTTTTGTACATTTTTATTCACGCTAGCACGTACACATTTGCTTTTCTTATCATTAGATTAATTTGGAATTGACAGATACGCTTTATTCCAAAGGAGAAATGGAGATACCATTTCTGCAAAAACGCTATCAGGCACTTCTGCTTTAAACTAACTTTTAACTACCTGTAGGATACATATCGTTAAATTTTTTGGGTCAAGGAATGAATGATGTACTCTATAGGCGGATTAAATAGTAATTTGGTGTCCAAGTATAGTATTTGACCTGAACATCAAATTACCAGATCTTTTGAAGAAAATATTGGTATGTTGTTTTGATATCACACAACAGAAAATTTGTGCAATATCCAACGACTGAACTGTGAAATTAGGAGATCAACTGGCTCTTATTCTTTTTGAGCAACAGTTTGATTTTCAACAAACTACAATAAACAATATTTTGAATAAACTGCATCCATTCTGATGCTGTACACGTCTAGTTATATCTATTTCTAGCATGTTTCATCTGTAACAATATATTTTAGTGATACTAATAACGAATTTTAGATGGTACGTTTGGATTAACATATGTTATATTAACTACTGCCAAACTTTATGTTTAGTCCCAAAGGGCTACATTTTAAATTGCAAATTGTTCTTCACATTGCAAACTGTCCTTTTTTTCATCAATGACATCAATTGTGAAACAATATTATCATAATTTCAGGCGGCGAGGGACCAGAATCCGAAGGACCCGATATATTTTTCCCTACCGACCGACCCAACAGCGGAATGACCCCTGTGATAGCGGACAGAAACAAAGGTCTAGAGTGCGCCCGCGGGAGCACCTTTTGCGAAAAAGTAGAAGGCTACCCGAAAGAATTCTTGTCGACGATTCTGCAAAAGGAGGCAAGAAAATACATGGATCTGTTTGGTGAGGACCAGGTACGACAAAAAACTGTACGTATCATTTTGATTTTTTAAGTTTGCCAAAGCTGGGTTGTCGGATTCTTTGGATTTCTTCTTCTTGAGGCCTCTCTTTTTACGACTTCTGGTAATTATGTGCATGTGATTTTAGTAGATGGTTTTTAGTTCTCCTGGAAAATAGAAGATCTACGATGCCAAAATTTCTACCAGTTCTGAGTTTTCAAACTATTTTTAGTATATGATAGACTGCCTGGTTTTGGATTTTTCAGTATGTGGTATTCGAGACTTGTATGCAAATGAAGTACATTTTTGCATACATAAAAATGCTGCAATATACAATACAGTATTCACAGTATCCGATATATTTCTATTTATATTTTGTAAAATTAACATATTTAAATATTATCCACGTGTTGAGTTGAAATACTATTTTTGAATTTTTCAAATACATTTATGCATAAAATTCGACTTATTAGTTGCAATAGATAAATTTTTATCATTGGATGTAAAATTGTACCAAAAGTGAATATGAACCAAATATATTAAAAATATCTTTAGATATGCAAGCAATAATTTGTTTACAATAAATAGACCAAATATAATTTTAATATTTAGATAAATAAATATTAAATAAATATTCAACTAAATATTGGGAAACTATGGTTTATTGTATAATTAACGTATTAGTTTTTTCATTTTTTTAGGTGGAAAGTGTTGTCAATGTTACAAATCGTATCGATTCGAATGACGATGAGCCTTTATGTGCATCCAAGGAAGAAATTGTGTACCCTCAAGCGGCTCAAAATAAGGACGACCAATGGCTTTATATAATCAATCAAGAAGGATATACGCAAGGAGTTCGTATTGAGAAATGCGCGTAAGGATAATAGAAATATATAATTCATAGCGTAGAAATTAGTCCTTTATTTTATTTCTATATTAGATTTTCATTTCACATCTTCCTCTATTCCAGGGACACCAGCGGTCAATGCGGTTCCTTACAATTGCCGCTCAATTACGAAACCGGCTGCAAACAGAAATACATTTACCGCAAACTGTTGGCGGTAAACGGAACTGGCATTGTTTCTGATAGTTTTCGGCTTCCGAGCTGCTGCGCCTGCTACATTCGAAATTCAGGAGCAGCAAGTAGAATCGCCGGAAATCCATTCAATGCTTCATCCAGACAAAGCTCGGTCCTGGACAAGTCCAGGACGGCTGCATCGACAGGATACAATTAAGTTTTTGCAACCATTTGTGATATTATGATATTTAGTAGTTGTATCGTTGTGTATTTAGTTATAGACGTTTACGAGAAAGGATTTGTAGTACGAACTCGTCACCTATGATATGAATATACGTGCTACCTTATAAAATAATTTAAATTGATTCAAAATGTTGTTGATGTTAATGCTGCACTGCATTAATTTACACAATTAGACATTTGGGGGTGATTTAAAAAATATCTATGAGAATCGTGCCCAATCAACATTTTACACCTGTATTTTTATTAAACATTTTTTATTGTCAACAATCTTTAAGTTCTTGAAACCACTTTGTTTTGTTGAAATATTATATACGTATAATAAAAAAATAGATAAGAATAATAAACATATCGCGACATCGCAAGATATTAATACATTTTTACTTCTAGTAAATTTTTACTCCAATAAATTGTACTATGATATTATGTATTTATCATATTTATGTTCGTCATAGTAATATAATAAATTATCTGAATTTAATTGAAACATTAAATTATGTTATTCAATAATGGAAATCAGAATAAAACTTCTCCAGTTTCTTATAAAGCAATTTACGATAACTAACCATTAAATCTCGCCTAACTTTATTTAAAGCATTTATTTAATAATGTTACTTTCCATTTTCTGAATATATTTAATTTAAATTTTAATACTTTAAGTAGTTATGTAGTTTGTTTTACAAATTTACAAAATCTTTATGATAAAATAAAAAATATCATTTTTTTTATTTATGGTTGAGTATCTCAATAATGATCTCCGATAAAGACCTAATTAATTTTAAATCATTTTAGTTTAAGATTTTTACAAACTGGGTAAAAACAAACTGATGTTTCAATACCCAATACAATGTATACTTAGCTTTTAATTGTAAATATATTTCATTAGTAATATTTTATAATCCCGGTGATAGTTAAAAGATGATCAAAATTTAAGCTATAAACCAAAGTTATTGGTTATTTTTGTACATAACTTGTTTAATATTTGGTCAATGTACATATTGTATTTTTGTGTAATAAACAAAAATAATTTAAAGAATTTCAGTGATTGACTAATAATGTTTCAATTTGTAATCTGTATCACTAAAATATATATTAGTATATTGTATAGTTTGTAAGTAATTATAGTTAATATAAATTATTTTTAATAAAAGATTATTTAATGAAATTTGTTTCTTCATTTTTCATTGATTGAAATTCAAGGTATTAGTCAATTCTTTGAATTATTATTAAGTTATAATTTATTGATAATTATTAATTAATGTTATCGAAGAATAAAAACTTATATAATTTAGGCATAACCAATTAATATGAAAGTGAAAATATTTGCATTGGATAAGGCCCAAAGAGGTCATCATTGTTTGAATTGGCTTAAAATTATGAATCGATTATTACTGATCGATCGATTTGATAAAAATTATATTTTTGCATTCAGGCAACACCCAAATAATAACTCCAGAAAAAAGGTGTTCATTTTCGGTTCGGTTGTGGAAGAAGACATTTCTTGGGCAAAATGGGTTGTGTAAGTGTTTTATTTTCGACTATTCAATTTAGTGATAAATTTGTGGATTTTTGCGTGTACATTACATTGTTTGTGTGATTAATATCGTGCAAAAGGAACAATTTTATATGGCTATGAATATGCAGTTACACTGGCATCAAGCGTAATGGCGGGCGCTTGGGTAAAAGGTAGGAGACACGTGTTTATTACTTTTAGATCCTCATTGCATTACTAAAATAGGAAATAATAATAATATAGACGAACAAATGTATTTATTAAATTTTCATAATTACTAAATGCACACAAAATATGTCAAATATCTCAATCACAGGGGCCCTTAACATGCGGTCCATTTCCATACTGCTTTTCATAAAACTCAATATACTCCTTCTTCAATCGTTCACGTTTTGCAAAATATTTCGGATACTGGGCTTTTTCCAAAGGATGCCAATAATCCATCACCCAATCTGGAGGAACAACATCTCGTGCATATGCCACTCCTCCAGGGCTCTGAGCAAATTTTATTGGCTGATAATGTAGATTTTGAAACAATTCTTCTTCACCTTCTGCCAACAATTCTTGGGCAATTTTAAAGTTTGGTTCACACTTATGACAATCAAATCTGCTTCTCAACAAAGTAGCTTCGTATCGGAAAACATCTCTTTGCCAATACCAGGCTTCTAAATTACGCAAGGCCCTTTTATAAAGGCTGAGGACACTTCTCCGGTGGGTATTCATGGGAACGGATTGATCTGGAAAATTATTGGTCAATATATCATAAATGAATGTACAATTAAACGTTTAACTTATGAATGATTGAATGCAGTAAATTTACTGAATACGACCAACAAATTATTACCATCCTATTTCAATCTATATTTGTGTCCTAAAATTCAATACAAGAGTAAATATTACCCAAAGTTCAAATGGACTTGTCAAATACTACAAAATGAAATATAGTCATTTGTTTTTGGCAAAACGTATCCGATTCAAATTTTAATATATTGCCTGGTTTTGTATATATATTTTCGATGATGTGATATGATGGATTGCGTTGTAGCCGGCGAAATAATTCAAACAAATTGCACATTCCGGCATACTATAGGCAATTTTCATAGAAATAAAAGGTTTAATTGTAAATTTATCTTTAGTTTATATTCTGTGCTGTATTATACAGAAATCATTTAATAATGTGATGACATAATACACAGAATAAAAGTTTTGAAATGGATTTCGAACGATGATTTATCCAAAATAAATCTTTTTTTTAAATTATATCACTTTTGTAATATAATTTAATAATAGTCTTTATTTAATTATACTTAATTTTACCTACAAACCGACCTCAGGAATAAAATTTAAAAAAAAATCTAGTCAACCCATTAACTTCTGGTCCTTGAAATCTTCGAAGGTTATGTTCTAATTGCAATTATGCACTAGTTTCTAATTAATGCACTTGAAAACAATGCATTTAGCAATCTTGAGAAAAATATAACTTATTTTTTCTTAAATTTGGCAATAAAAAAGATTTGTTTTTGAATCTCGCAGTTTCAGACACACATGCATAATTCTACAAATTCATTTCTAAAAATTTTGGCATCCATGAAGACGCTGAATGAATTATAAATTACTCTTGAAATTACTCCTTTTTTGTTATTTTAGCAAAATAATTTATATTGTTATAACAATGTTATAACCTGATCATGGATGCATAGATATTCGATAGCTCAATTGTTTTTGCTATCCATTTATTTTGTAAATTTTGTGTTGTATTTTCGTGACCACCATCCAATGTCACTTGTCATTCAAGTTAAATAGGTCATTAGTTCCTTGTATTCAGATCCATAATTTTTCATTTGTAGATGTTTTACAACACACCCATATATATTCTATAAATAAGACGTCGTTTGGGTCAAATTGCCTTGTGTTTTAGGAGTGTCAAGTCTAAAAGCTAATTGTGAGCGATTAATGCCAGCAAAACCGCTAAAGAGTTCGGGTATCAATTTTCTAAGAGGAAAGAAATGAGAAATGAAATATTCAATAAATTTAGCTATATAATAAAATTTTATGTTGGGATATTTTTGATACCCAATTATGTTATATCGATCTCTGCTCATTGTCTCAAACATATTTTAAAACTAGTGGTGTATGGCATCGTTCCTTAAGGCAAATTGCTGGTACTTCTCGTACAAAATTCAAATCAATAAACAAAATTAATTATCATTAAAATCTTTATAAAATATCTGATAATTCTTCATCAGTTTTTTTTTGTCGGATCTCTAAAATCACTGATCCTACCTTCCCAAAAATTCCAATCAGTTTTTTGTTTCATCAATACAAACAAAATGTTTTATGAATAATTTAAATTGGACGCTCTGTTTCCTCCTTTGTGGAATTTTTTACCAGGTATCTTCAAAAGGGCTGATCCTGCCTTCAAAATAAATTAATCAGTACGTCTCCTCGTTAATACGAATCAATTGTTCTTTAAATGATTGAGAAACCAGTTGATTCGTGTTCCCAAAATCGTCGACGAAAATTTGAATCCGAACACACATACATACATCCATTTTTCTAAAGTACCTCTGAAACGTAAATATATGAAAAGAAATTCATTTTCGATATTTTTGCGGTTACTATAACTTACCCTGCGGGAAGTTTATAATAGGTTTTCTACTCTGCTCAATCTACAAATTTCAATTTTTCTATAAGGAACATTTCAGTACCTCACTTGAAAATTGTGTACCTCACTTGAAAACCTTTTGTGTCCTTTATTGATTCCTGTCACCCACTTTTGCATCTACTCAGCTCTTGTAAAATATGCGATTTATAAATCGTGAATTCTACAGCATTTCATTTTTCATTCCAATCGGAACTGAATTGTGTTCTCATGACAGGCTTTTCGTTGACGGCATACAATGTTTATCTTTCTGGAAATAAATCTATAAAATCCTTCGGTCTGTGTTTTGATAACTCATAGATTTCTGCCACATCCTTCTGTTCGATTTCTGCCCAGTAAACACGGACACGAAAATCATTTTATTCGAAATTTATTACACAAAACAGAAATATTTGGGGACTTAGATTTTATTGTGAGTTTTATCGCCTTTATATGCTGGCGATTGGATTACAATAACTTTGCACAATTGTATTTCCTTCGAGAAAACCGAAGGACGGAAGAATCAGGTTTAGTGGATTTTATATATTAACATATATTTAAATTTAGTCAAATTTGGATAGTGCAACGGCAAATTCAACAATACTTCTTTAATAACATTGAACCTACATTTTTACTATTTGAGAAATAGTAATAATATAAATAATAGGAATAGTATCTATGCTTCTCAAAATAAGGGTAAATCACGAGGAGAAAGTGTAGGCGGAATTATTTCATAAGAAGTACCTAACAAATTCGTGAAAATTTTATTAAAATCAGTGCCCCTTATAAACTGAGCGCTTAACTTTAAAAAATATTTCATTTAAATTAACTCCACAATAATAAGTCTAAAATTGCGAATACATTATGGCTACTGAAATAAATATTGTTCGAGAGTGCATTACATATTTTATCGTTACCCATTAAACCGTCTACTAAAATAAAACGCTTCCATGACATAAATAACTTTTTTTTATGTACACATCTTAGAGATGATTGAAAAATAACATATGGTGTTTAAAATCGATAGTGTACAAAAACGAAACAACAAGAACGTATTTGCCTACATTTATTTGTATACTTTTTTCTACATATCACCCATTTAGATATATTCAAATTTTGTGTAAAATCTAGTGAATCTAATTTGTGCGTCAACCCAAAATAATCACAGTAGCTCACTGTCTCGCACTTTGTTTACGAAGCAAATATTTTAGTTAAATATGCTCGTCTTTGTTGACTTTCAAAACGTATTCGAATGCCAAAAGTCTGATTGAAAATTGCATGAATCAAGTTTGAGATTATAACAATAAACGCAAACATACTCGACATATGGAATCTTGGTACATTGATTTAATAATGGCAATAATATATTGAAATGAAATGGAAAAATTTGTGCTCTACTAAACGTCGTTGTTCTATATCAATCAATTTCTTTTTCGCTGTATCTGAAATCCGGATTACCGCAGGGCAGTGTGCTTGGACCGTTTGGGATACAAAAGCTTGAAGTTTATAACAAACTTCAACTTTAAACACATTTGTTGATAATACTTTTATGGACGACATAAGAATCTTCTACTGGGCGCTAATTGGATTAAATAACTAAAAAATTCATAGTAACAAAACCAAATGTGTACAAATAACAACCTACTTCTGCAAAGAGTATTGCACACAAAATTGTTTTATTAATACACAAGTTTCAAAAAAAGAGTAAAGTACTTTTGACTATATCTTGATTACAAGCAAATATATTGTAGAGAAGAGGGATCAGTTTTGATGAAGGCTTATGGGCTTGATAAAAATTACACGTTATTGCTTCTAGCGTATTTTTGTCCAAATAGTATTTTGCAAAAATATTTCTGAAAATCAGTTGAGCACCCCAATATTTTTCTTGGCTTTTTTCAAGTATTAATTACATCTATTATCAAAATAAATGTCTCGCGTGCGGCACGTCCACGAGGCCAAAGATAAATTCTGCCTTAACCCCATTAAAAATGTAATTAATAACGTTTCGTTTAATTTCTGAACCATAAATCTACTATGAAAAAAATCTAATAGCCTATTAAATGACAATTTAATATTGACAATGAATCAAACTTATGTGTTCAGAGGTAATTTGTAAGTATTGAGGTATGGAGTAAATAAATTCTCAAAGAAGTGAAGAATGTATTATACAAATTAAGGCATTGTAAATTTAAAATTCAGATACCCGTTTTGAAAATCTGCTATTTTTATCAAAATTTTACGATTATTTTCGAGAAGTATGAAATTATCTTCTAATGACTATTGTAATAATAATAATGAGCACATCACAATTTGACATAATTACAAATAAAACTTTTGCATTCTAATAGCTTTTAAACTCATGAAAAGTGTCATTACATAAAGAAGTTCACTAATATATTTTATTATTTTTATTGGAATGATTTTATATTAATCACTGTTAAATATTTTATGATGTAAAAGTTTAAAACAGTAATTATCGAATAAAGTATTTCGAAGTATCAATATTAATACATTCTGAAAAAGGTTCTAAAA